TAATTTGTACAATTCACCTCCCTGTGGTTCGACCCCGGTCTTGCCGGGTTATTTATTACTTCGACACTCCTGCACTTGGGAGAAGACATCAACCTTTTAGTCGTGTCAATTCCTATATCAGTTCTCATTTATGTCCAAGTTAAAAAACATATTTGAGTTTATTTAGACCATGTTTGTTTCTCGGAAAGTGGTTTTCGAGAAATTATTTTCCAAACTTTTCCGTATTTGTCTACCATTAGAAAAGTTGATCAACGAAAAACACTTTCCGATCAACAAAAATCACTTTTTAGTTAACGAAAAACACTTTTCAGTCAAAAAAAAATTTAGCTTGGTTTTCAGAAAAGTGTTTTTCTTTTTAACTGTGTTTGTTTTTCGGAAAGTGGTTTTTGGAAAAGCACTTTCTAAAATTTTTTGTGTTTGTTTGGTGTTAGGAATGTTAGTCAACGGAAAATACTTTCCAGTCAAAGGAAAATTTAGCTTGGTTTTCAGGAAAGTATTTTCTTGAAAACTTTGGACAGAAAACACTTTCTGGAAGTTGTGAAAAAATTTAAAAATATCATTATTTGTTGATTATATCAAATTTAATCCTCAAACTTTTGATTTGTTATATATATTTTGTTTTGAATATTTATTTTTTAATTTCTTTTCTTAAAATTTAATTTTTATATTAATTTTGGTCCTCATTTTTATAGTTGTTATTTGCTTTTCTTCTATTATTTTTTTATTAAAATTTTTTATCTATCAAGTTTGGTCCTTATTCTTTTTATTGTTACTTATTTTATTTGAAATACTTTATAAAATGTTATTATTATTATTTTAATTTCTTCATCTTTTTTTTTAGATTTGATCTTTATTATTTTGATTATTATTTATTTTTTTGAGATAATTTATGAAATTATATTTTTTTCAATTTTATTCTTATTTAAATTTTTAATTTGTAAGGTTTGTTCCTCATTATTTTAATAAACTTGAAAAAAAGTAAAACATTAATAAATTATTTTTCAATTTATTTTTCATAACATAATTAAACACTAAAAAGTTTTTTCCAGTTTATTTTTCATAACACCATCAAATATCACAAAATAATTCAATTTACAGGAATTTATTTTTTTCAAAAATTACTTTAAAAAAAAACAAATTTCTTTAAAATAAACAGAGCCTAAGAGATATTTTGAATTGTAGCGGTAATTATAGTTATTTTTTAAAATATTTTTATATAAAAATATAAAAAAATTAATTTTAAAATTAATAAATTAAAATAATTTAAAAAAATAATTGCATTGGAAACTGAAATAATTTTTTTAAGTGCGGGAAGAGTAGTTTCCCTGAATTAGTTTTTTTTTTAATTAATTAATTAATAATATCCCCACCTCCTCGATGTGATTTTCAAAGCTGTCTTATGGCCCATCAATCAAGGAATTGAAGTGCCTTTCTTGACTTTTTAGGGGACGAAACTTTCGGTCACGTCTGCAAGCAACTGCCAACTTTATCCACACGTTTTAACACACGTCTTTCCATTTAACCACCGGGAGACCATGCATTTATTTGATAGAGTATTTTTTATTTAAAAATATATTAAAATAATTTTTTAATTTATAATAAATTATTTTTAATATTAATATATTAAAATAATTTTAAAATAAAATAACGAGTAAGAACGTGTTTGGTATATATTTAGTAAAATCTTTTTTTTTAAATATTTTTATATATATTATTTTTACATATTGATATTAAAAATATTTTAAAAAATAATTATTACCATACTCTCAAATATATCTAAAGTTTATTAAAAATAAAAAGACAAAGATAAAAATATTAAAATAATTTTATTGTAAATTTTTATATTTTCAAAATAAGTGATACATATAAGATATTTTTTTTAAAAAAATATTTATTATTTTTTATTCATAAAATTTTAAAATTATCAAATATATATATATTATCATAGTTTTAAAATATAATTTAAGGATTAATCTAGGGCAAAACTCATGTTACTGGTCAACGCACAAGTTATGGATCAAATTGATCCAGGTCAATATAAAAATAATTATTATTATCATAGTTTTAAAATATAATTTAAAGGACGATCTAGGACAAAACTCAGAACACGTGTTAAGAGGATCAACTTGTATTAATTTGAGTTAATATAAAATAAAAATAATTATTAACATAATTTTAAATTTTAATTTAAGGATTGACTCGGGATAGGATCCCGGTCAATGATCAAAAGGATCAACCCAAGTTGACTTATGTTAATGTAAAATTAAAATTTGTTATTATAGTAATTTCAAACCTAACTCAAGAACCAACCGAGATAAGGCTCGAGTTATAGTATGAAAAAGTTAACATTTACTTAAGTAAATGTATATATAAAAATAATTATTATTATAATTTTTAAATTTGATTTAAGTGTTGATCTGATACAAAATTCAAGTTACTGGTTGATATAGTCAATTTAATTGCCCAAAATTTTTATTTTTTTTAAAATTAATAAGTTTTTTTATTTGTATTTTATCCCAATTTGACTTAAATTTTTTACAAAATCAAGTTAAGTCTATATTTTTTTTTTTTTTCTGAAACTAGTTTAGACTTTTTATTATCTCATCAAATTAATATTAGTTTTTTGGTTAAAATTATTATAATATTATAAATTATAACACTTTATATACACTATTTTTTTAAAAAAAATATATAAGTTTAATAATAATATAGGTTAAAAAACATATTTTTTTATATTTTATTTTTTATAACTAAATAAAATATAAAATAATCATTTTATTTTATTCATGAATATCAAATATAATTTTATTTCTAAAATATTTATTTCTATCTTATTTTCTTTATTTTTACTGTCGTTGAATCTTTTATTTCAGTAAAATAACCAAAAGCTACCTTAATAACTTTAGAAACTGAGAAAAAGATGAAAGAGGAAAGGTTTACATGAGAGAGAATGACAAAGACATCAGTCTGACCTTATCACAAGCTCACAACATCATCGTCTACCTTAGTTCACTCCTAAAATACGGCACTGGCTTCTTCAATCTTAACATCTAAAATCCTGAAGAATCTTTGGTAGAGAGATGAGCGACCCCAAGTATGGTTATCCTTACCCTGCCCAAGGTATTTATCTATCTTAATCATCTTCAAAATCCTTTTTTTTCTTTCCTTTTCTCTTCCCCTTCCTTTCATTTTCCTTTCAAAGATGCAAGTTTGAGAAGCATATATACAGGTTTTGCTTCAGTTTCCAAATTAATTATGATATTTTTATTTTATTTTTTATTAAACTGTTAATTTCAGTCTATGCACAAGGGATTCTCTTTAGAGGATCATTTGAGAGTTGATTTATGCCACGGAGGGTTTTTTTTATTACTATTCTCTTTTATTATTATTATTATTATGGTTCGTCGTAAGTACCTTGAGTTATATATTTCTTTTTCTTATCTTTATGCTATTTTGGTTTGTTTGATTTTGAAGATTATCTTGAGATCATTTTATGGTTTAATTTAATTTTTTTTTTTTGCCCCTTTGGCAGGTTATTATCAAGGACCTCCAGTGATGGCACCTCCACAATATTACGCCGCTCCACCGCCTCGGAGAGAGCCTGGTTTCCTTGAGGGATGGTAATTTCTTTGAAAATCTTACTATACCGCCTGGTTTATATGAATTGCAAAAAAATAAATACAATAATCTTAGTTTTATTTGTCTTGCTCTTGGTTCTTGCTCTGTAAATATTTTCTTGGATTTTTGAAGCGTTTACATTTATTGTCACAGCCTTGCAGCTTTGTGCTGTTGCTGCCTTATTGACGAGTGTTGCTGCGACCCTTCCTTCTTTTTCTGACTGAGCTAGATATCATGCTGCTTCTAAGAATAGTTATAGCTACGTGATAAATGTTGAGTATTAGTGTATTGATGAATGCTGTTGTTTATTGGCTTGGAGCGTTTTACTCCCATGTTTAGTACATGTGGACATCAAGAATCTTAGTTTTAATTCTCTTAACTTGATGGATTTAAATTGGCTTGAAATTAAATTGTCTAATAAGGATGTGTTTGTTACTGTGGTATTGTAGTTTTTTTTTTTTTTTATAATATCTGTGGTTTAAAAAAAATTATTTTATAAAAATTATTTTTAATTAAAGTTAATTTAAAATAAATATATATTTAGTTAAAATTACAATTGAAATTATGTTAAATAAGGAGTAATTTAATATATTTGATTAAGAATATTTTTTAAATTAAGGTTATAAAATAAATATTAATGATTTTTAATTGAAATATTATTGATTTAATTATTGTTATTATATTATAAAATAAATGATGTAATATTATTAAATAATATTAAATATCAGTTTTTTAAATAAAATACAATATTTAAAATTTTTTCATAGTATTTCATAGGTATTAGAGAATTAAAAACAAAAAAATAATAACAAGTTGAATGGATATTAAACCATTCTCAGCATGCTGTACTAAGGCGATCATCAAAAAACAATGACAAGTTTCAGTAAGGGAAAAAGTCGATGGAAAAACATGTGAACGGCCGATGGAAACAAAGGGATGATGAGAAGCAGGTCAGGGAGAACATGAAGGACTCATAATGGAAATGATACAGCTATTGGGAGTTTGTTGGAGAGGGCCATTAAAAAACTGTAAAATATTTTCAATTCAATCTGTTTAAAATTAAAATAATTCGAAATTAAGTTTGATAAAGAGTTAGGAATAGAGTCAATTTATTATGTTAAATGGATAGATTTTATAATCAGGAAATAATAGCATTTAGAGTTTTTTTTTTATTTAATCCGAAACTCATGCAAATTAAATTAACAAAAGTAAATTATTAAATCAAATCCAAAAAACCTTGATATGGAAAGATCAAAATGAAAAACAAATTAAGTGACTGAAAAAATATTTAAATGACCAAAACAAAGAAGAAAGCAATATGTGATTAATGCGCCATTGTTCTTCTCACAATGTACAGGAATTCACTTATCCCTGTTAATTTTTTTTAATGGCTTTGTAGCATTGACTCATTAAGTAAGATTGCAATGGAACTCGTCAATGGCTGCAGCTCAACCCCATTTTTTCTCCTTCCTTTCTTAAATAATTGGGCACTTGCTTTTCAACAATCACCATTGACACACTTATACCTTTTGAACTAATCTTCGAAAAAATTTCTCTGATTTTTTTTTCCTCCGGTGATTATATGTAGAGGCTTGAACTAACATCAATTTCAATACCTGCTTGCTAGATTTAAAGCCAATAATTCAACAAAAGCAGATAAATGAAAATGCAAATTACATGTGTTTTTAATCAAATTCTGTAGCCAAATAAGCAAGCACTGGCATAATTTCTTTGATTTGGAGAACGGATATGTTCCATCTTCACACTGTTAAGTAAGAACTAAATATTTGCAAAAACATTCCAAATGAAATTCACATGAAAACCAGCTTTGAGATTCCCTTATATATTACATAATCACTCTCATAGTTTAACAAAAAACCAGCAGCTGTACAAAGATTTCTCCAATGGAACCTTATTTCTGTTAGTTAATGATATATGTAGAGCTTTTAATTAGAGAACAAAGAATAGAGAACAGGGAACAAAATAACAGCGGTGAAAATAAAATAAAATAAAGAACTAAGAGCAGAAACACAAGGGGTGAGGTTACTGCCATCCCTCCAGTTTTAGTTATAGAAGAAATCAAACACTACAGAAGACAAGAATCAAATAACAACCATCATCTCCTTTATCTGAAGAGATATATATAACTAACTAGACTTATCCGAGATAAGTTTAAATTCTACAGATTCAAACAAGATTAAGATAAATAATTTGAAAAGAAACGTTGCAGAATAAACTCCAGCTTTGGTGCCACCACTTCAACAACTCCAACAATTTCAAACTAGTAGTAGTAGACGAAGATGAAGTTGCCAAGGTAAAGGATGATGTAGCTCCAGCAAACACGTTCACAAACAATACGAACTCATTGGACAAAGAGGACCTGTTATGCACCCAGCTGCTCCTGGTATAAAATGAAGGGGGGAAACCAGAAAGCGCGAAAACGAACCATTAGTCTTCAATATAAAACGAAAGGAAAAGATATGTGAATAGCCATATTACCTTGCAATCCTTCTAAGCAAGAGCGTGCTCGTGTAGCCTCAGAAATTCTCGTTGAAGTCGTGCCTTGCGCACTGCTACCTTCACATAGAGCCAGTCCCAAGATTCATCCAAGAACCGGAAATAGGCATGTCTCCAGGAACGTTTTAACAGTAAAGCACCTGAAACTCCCCAAAAGAATACACTAAAACCAATTCCCATAGCAGTACAAAACCATTTCATGAATTCATCAGCGACGACTTCTTTGCCTCGGTTGTCATCATTAGGAGGTGGGCTTTGGTTCGTCTCATCTCCAGGGCATTTCTGTAAGAGTGGCTTCCCGCACAATGCAAGGTTACCGGTAAATTGTGAAGCATTAAAGCCTTGCAGCTGAGTGCTTAACGGAATCCTCCCCGACAAGTGATTGTTGGAGAGGTTCAAGAAAGCCAGAAAATTTAGATCAGCCATTGTGATAGGAATTACTCCGGATAATTGGTTTCCTGACAAATCAAGTGATTCCAACTGTTTCAACTG